TCTAAGTGTAATTCAGAATCACAGATTTTAATATAATACATCAGGGTCTGGGTTCTGTTTCCCCCTCGGGGGGCGAGGGTACCTGGACCCGGGGTATAGAGTATATTTGGGGAGTGTGATTGTGTGTACATGTCCATTTATGTCTATCCTTACGTTGGGTGAGTGCTGAGTGTTTGTATATGTGTGCATGAGGGTGGGAACGCATGTTTGTGTCTGTGTGTGCCTGTTTGTCTGTGTCTATATGTCAGGTCGGGTCTTAGACTCCACCTCTCTGGGAACTCCCAGGCCCTCCAAGGCCTATCTCCCCTCACCACACTCCCTGCCGGTGACTGATGCCCTCAGGGGTCGGTGCGTTGGTGGTTCTTGGTGTCCGGGGCTGGGCGCTCAGGTATGTACCGGCTCACTCCCGGTGGCTACTTGGCGGGGCCTGGCGCCTGTTGCTCGGTCAGACCTCTTCCGGGGTGCGGGGGCCCTCGGGCCTCTGGGCCTGCGGCTTGGTTCACTCTGGGACAGCTAGCTTCCGGCAGAGCCTGCGGGCACGCCGGTGCAGCCCCCTCTGGCTTCTGCTCCGTGGCTACTGGGTGACCTCTCATCTGGGGATCTCCTCAGCCCTTCCCAGGAGGGTGGCACGGATGCCCCTCCGGTGGTCCTCCTTGGGCTCTCGCACTCTGGGGCCTCTGGATGTCTGGGGACTGGATCTCCTCCATGCCTGCTTCATGCCCTGGGGGACGGGGCTATGGCTCTCTACATCCTCTAGCAGACCATTACATGGGGAAACCTTTTGAATACAAGCGCGCTGATCCACACAGGTGTGCACACGGGTGTTCACTGTTCATAGACATAAACTACACCTTTATTGGCTGCTACTTCAAAGCACATTGTGCGCTGTCGGTCCTGCGTGCTGCACAACAACATTCAATATTTAGTATTTACTGCTGTTTACACTTAGCTAGATTAATGCGATGGTGTTGTGTTTAGTATGTTGCTTTGTTTTTTTTGATTGTTTTCTCTTCTTTTTCTCTCAACAGGTGATCCAGGAGATTTTTTTCTTTCTCTTTTTAAGTGCCCTTTCTCACTGTCCCTCTCCCCTTCTGTTTTTCTTTTCCTTCTCTCTTTCTTTCTCCCTTTCCTATCCCTCACTCATGTCTGTCCCGTCTGTAACAACTGAAAATAAAATAAAATAAATAATAAAAACAAAGGTCGATCAAATGGACCAATACGGCAATGCCACGATGATCCATTTGGCAAAATAAATCCATTGGGTATCCTTGTTGGTCTTCAGACAACAATTCTGACGGCTAAAGAACCAAATGGGACAGGCAAAAAAAAAAATAAAAAAAAATTAAAAAAATAAGGTACCACTTTACAATAAGGCTCCCCTTATAGATGCTAATAAATAGTTTATAGCTATATTATTAATTAATCTGTAAATGCTTTATAAACCATTATTAATGGTTTATTATGCATTAGTTAAGGGTGAGAAAGAGGAAAAAAACTGACCGGTTTCTTGCCAAATAGTGAGCCAAATGTGTTCACCTATATATTTCATCTAGAGTTGCTATATTAAACATTTCAGACTAAGTTACTATCCTGTAAGCACAATCAGCATTTGTAAACATATTTTTTATCATATAAAATTGTACTTCAGAAATGCATTATAAATATCCACAACTATCAATCGGAGCTTTGTTGTAAAGTGTAAAGCATAAAACCATTTATTAATGAATAATAAATATTTATAAATACCAGATGGGAGCCTTATTGTAAAGTGTAAAGCATAAAACCATTTATTAATGACTAATAAACATTTATAAATGACAAATGGGAGCCTTATTGTAAAGTGTAAAGCATAAAACCATTTATTAATGACTAATAAACATTTATAAATGCCAAATGGGAGCCTTATTGTAAAGTGTAAAGCATAACACCATTTATTAATCACTAATAAACATTTATAAATGCCAAATTGGAGCCTTATTGTAAAGTGTAAAGCATAACACCATTTATTAATCACTAATAAACATTGACTGACGTCAAAAAACACCTTTGATGCTGCGTTTTCTGAGTTTTCTCCATTTTTCTCATCCACACGTGAATGCAAAAACGGAGTTTTCAAAAATATCCACCCTGGCCGGAGTTTTTAAAAATCTCCGTTTTCAGTGACCAAAAACACGGTTTACGTGGACAAAAGGTGCAAACGCATAGAAAAATCTGCGTTTTCAAAAATACCCGGGTACATGTGGACGTAGCCAAAGTATGAGAAAGCCCTGGGCATAGCAGATGATGCTCTAGAGCCAGTGACAGATTTCTCAATAGCTGGGTCAATAACACAGTTTAAATCACCTCCAAAGATCAGGAGGTGTGTATTTAAGTCAGGAGTCATCCTCAAAAGATTATTAGCAAACAGAGCGTTGTGAAAGTTTGGGGCATAGACGTTCACTAAAACAACTGGGTTATTCATCATCTACAACAATTACATCTCGTCCATTTTTGTCAGCAATCAATGTAGAGAGAGAAAAATGTATTTTATTGCTAATTAAGATTGCCACTTATCTGGCTCTAGTATCAGTCTCCTGGAGAAAAGCTACATCTGCGTTGAGATGTTTTAAGTGACTGAGAACCTGAAATCTCTTTACCGGACCATTCAAGCCTTTCACATTCAAAGACAAAAATCTAACAGTACTATTGTTAGTGCTATAACCAGCCATATATATGTTTTACTGAAAACTGGTCTATGACAAGATGACCGTAACTAGGAGGGGAGAAAAAAAACGCAAACAAAACAACAAAAAGAGAAAAAAGAAGTAGAAGAAGAAGAGAAAAAACAAAAAGCCCCCCAAAAGCCCACATAAAAGCAAAGCAAACAAACACAGGAACAGTAACACAAGGTGTAACAACCACATTTGTGGGCCATAGTTTCCACCCACCCCATCTACTTGGTCCCATTTCTGAACTAAGGTGACCGCAGTATATCCCCACCAACTTCAACCTCCTAGCGCAAACTCGTGCTACATAGACACGCCATACATCCTTAACTTTGGAGTACTAAGTATATATTCCAGTAGTAGTAATAACAGTAAGACTTGATGATTAAACATAGGGGGTTACAAGTGGCCGCCCAACAGTCAGCAAAACAAGTCATAAAAAACAACACAGGTTGTTTCCTTAACAAGAGCATCCGAGGACACACACCCTAATGTTCACATAGAAAGGTGCACACTGTACCTCTATAGTTTCCACTTTTCTTTACAACCTGCTCTTTATCTCTGCATGTCAGAGGTCAACTGAAACAAAGTCCACCTATATAAAAACACCCCATCACACACACAGTATTTTCCTCATTACTTCACAACTGCTGCAGGGCATATCGTTTTAATGTTTTTCGGACCCTAGACAAGGCGGTGTGAGGTAGTTAGCACACAATTTGGCCATGTAGAAAGCATTTTTTGTTTGGAACACATCAGCAGAGAGGTAGAATTCATTGCTGTTCAAAAGAGTTTAATTTAATCAAACCTAATTTTACTTTTTTAAATTTTTTTCCAGTGTCCCTGCACTCCCCGTCCTCACTGCTCCTTCTCGTCCCACATTCCTCCTGAGGGAAAACAATAGAGGCAGCCATTACACACTTTATCCCAGCAGGCATACACTCACACTTTCTGACTATGCTAGAAGACTGACGTGAAGTCAAACGCAATAATGTGGTCTTTATCAAAAGTAGAAGTCACGTCTGTGGCTATACCATTGTACACCACAACTTTAAAAATCTTTAGTGTGTGAGGCTGTGCAAATAAAGGGTGACTTGCCCTTCTTGAACCTGCTGTTGTGTTGCTTTTTGAGTGTTTGAACCCAGCGTGTGACAAACCATCTGTTGGGGGTTGTGGATTTGACACCTTAGCATTGTGAAAGTGGGGCAACGTGCTTCAGGCTGAGCATAAGATTTCTGCTTACAACTTAGAATCTCAGTTCTAAATGAAATTCAGATGTTTTTTTAGTATGGCTAATGTATTATTTGACTTCTAAGACACACACACACACACACACACACAACACACAGAGAGAGAGAGGGGAGAGAGAGAGATCATTAATACAAAAGATTGCAGCAGGTTTTGGATTTTCACTCTTTGTTGGATTTAATATGAACAGTCACATAAAATTAATTCCAATTTTTTTGCTCCTCATCTGGGCTCGTCGGGGGAGCTATTTAGATGAGCGATGGAGCTTCCACCGACGCTGG